GATGGACACTTGTTGAATTTCTTATGGGAAACCCACTTTTCAAAGCGAGATCCGTCTGCAGTAAGAGCTGCAAGAACAGCACTGAATGAACCACCAATGTTTGCTCCCAGAATAAGGGGATACATCTGTTCAAGGGTTATCACACCTGATCCAACTAAGGGAGTGAGGGCTGAGGAAAATATGTTGTTAGATTGTATCTGAAATAGTAGAGATCGTTGGGAATACGTGTGTAATGTAATAATGTAACAATTCGGTGATTAGTAGTCACTAATGGGCAATTAATTTCCACGAAAAACGTGTCGTTTGCCATGGTCAAATGAAATATGCAGCCACGCCCACCTCATCATCGATATTTGGAATGTACCTGGAGCACAGGGAGAGAGGTTTAGTTGAGGCTTTGGCTTTTTTATGTTCTTTTTAAAGTTCTCTTAAATAAGCAGTTCAATATCGGCGTGCTCAGACAGAATTTTGCTGATATTGTTGCAATCAGTCGGGGGTTTTCAAGAGAGGGCCTCCAGCTGTTGCTCTACCAGAAGCGATCAATTAACCATCTATTAAAACAACCAATAGTGGAAACGCTCCATCTCTGTTGACACCGGTCCGACTGATTCCTAAGATATCAAGTGTACACAAATACATATATCCCAAATCTCTGAGATGTCAAATGAGAATAGTCTACGAAAAGCGCATACTAAGACATGTGCAATTGAAGTATTAGGTTGTCCGGAAAGTTCTGCAGGTTTTGTGTTACTATTTTTTGAACATTCATTGCTGATTAAAAACTCATTCTCCCTTGCGTCTCAGTAGTACATCCTGAAGAGAATTCTTTGCGCTATCTGATGGTATAACTGCCGTTTCACCATTGCTTGATGAACCCCCTTTTTTCAAGATTTTTTCAAGCATGTGAAAAGAGCACTTCGGACGATTTTTTCTTCGACTATAAATTGGGGCAATCCGCAATCGAAACAGCTCAACAAATTAACCAGGTGTGGGGGCCCAATAGTGCTAGAGAAAGCACTGTGCGGCAATGGCTCAACAAATTTCGTTCTGGAGATTTCAGCCTTGAAGATGAACCTCATAGCGGTCGACCTAAAGCAATATCTGACGAGGATTTTGAGGGGATTTTGGAGGCTGACCCATCCCAAACAGTTCGAGAGATTGCAGAAAAGCTAGGCGTTGGCAAATCCAGTGTTGCAGATGGTCTGAAACGCATTGGGAAGGTGAAAAAACTCGATAAGTGGGTGCCCCACAATTTGAGTGACCGGCAGAAATTGGCACGTCTCGCGGTTTCCTCTTCACTGCTTTTGCGCAACAGAAACGACCCGTTTTTGAACCGAATTGTCACCTGTGATGAAAAATGGGTCATGTATGATAACAGGAGACGTTCCGGACAGTGGTTGGATTTCGACGAACCACCGAGGTAATTTTCAAAGCCGAACCCTCACGAAAAAAAGATTCTGGTCACGGCTTGGTGGTCATCGGCTGGTGTGATCCACTATAACTTTTTATCACCAGGCTCACAGCAGAACCCTACTGTGAAGGAATCGACGAAATGTACCGAAAATTTTGTCAGCTGCAGCCAACACTTATCAAAAGAAAGGGTCCGATTCTTTTGCATGACAACGCCCGCCCACACGTTTCACAAATCACTATCCATAAATTGAACGAATTGGGGGTTGAAGTTCTACCTCAACCGCCATATTCTCCAGACCTTTCACCAACCGACTATCACGTTTTCAAACAT